CAGCCCTGCCTGGCACACAGCTGGTCCCACTAGTGGGGACTGTGGTACCAGCGTTTTGGGAGCACTCCATTGTGTGAGGTGACTGGGAAGGCAGTGGCACCCCAGAAAAGTGCTTGGCCTCCTGCCTCTGCTCAGGCTTCTGCTCCTGCAAGATGGGAGCCCTGAGGCTATAGCGGTGGTCTCAGGGAATGGCAGGACTCTATTCTCGAGGCCACTATCTGTGATCAGCTTCAAAGACAGGTCTGACCCCTGTCAGAGGGGAATCCGTGTCAGAGGGAATTCTATCAGTGCCCCCCCAAGCAGCCCCCGCAGGAGAGGGCGGCCCCTCCGTGTGCCCAGCTCCGGGGCAGGCTGCTCGGTGTCCCCGCCGTGGCAGAGCATGTTCCTGCCCTCGCTCCCAGGCTCCTGCCCGCCCGGCCAAGCGCTGCGTTATGGGATCCAGATGGTGGAGGAGGACGGGGAGTTCACTTGATGCAGCCGAGACACCCCCAGCCCGGGCGAGCCAGGGCAGGCGGCCGGACCTGACCGTGTGATGAGAGATTTGTGCCACCACTTCTGAGCCATCCGGGTGGCTGGGAGGGAGAAGCCGCCGCGCTTGGCCGAGACACAAACCCCTCACACCACTGTAAATCTGCCTTGGGTGTCTGTCCCGCTCTCTCCAGACGCTTGGCGTGCGTGCCGTGCCCTCTCCTTTGTGGGTGGCAACTGTCTGGGAGATCAGAGCTGAAAAACAGCTGGGCAGGACAAGAGCTGGAGCCCTGGAAAGGGATCTGGGACAGCAGTGCTGTCACACACTGCACCGGGGATGATCGTGGTCCCTGTGCCCCTCGTGCGGGGGCTGTGTGGGGAGAGCACCACTGGACCCTCCCTACGTCACTCAGATCGGAGCTGATGCAGTCGGGGAAGGAGAGACAGAGCTGCCCAGCTTTTGGGACAACCATTCTGTTCCCCAGCATGGACCCCCCCCCCCCTTCCCTTTGGAGCCCGGGGTTTATCCTGAATCCCTGCTTCTTTGGTGTCTCAGCACCAACACCTTGGTCAGCTGGAGCGTGTGTGGGGCAGCGCCCTGGGGTGAGCAGAGATCTGGGTCCCTGGAAGGCTGACAGGGGGTTGGCCTTACTGGGATGCATCCAGGCTCCACTGGCGTGTCGGTTGTGCCACCGGGATAAGGAGCCCCCACACATGGAGAGCATTCCTGGGGAGAGTTTTAGCACCTACACATGGATGAATCCCAAGGCCACCCCGCTGCCCACCATGCCCAAATCGTCACAGTGCCCATGCCTGGGTCCCGTGGGGCAGCACCTTCCCAGCTTCCTTTCCAGAGGGAAGGGAGGCACATTCCCACCCCACAGCAGAGCTGGCTGTGTCTGTGCCATGGTTTTGGGGTGTTGGTGCAACCACCATCCCTCTCCAACATCCCCAGTCCTTGCTCAGAGAGAAGCTGAGGTGCCTCTGGGCAGCCCCCACCGTGGCTGAGCTGCCCCAGCCCATTCCTGGGGATTTTGGGGTGTCAGGATTTAGAGTCAAGCCATGGTAGCTGTGGGGACAAAACACCAGTGTTGCTCTGCCCATGCCACCAGTACACCCCGACCCCCCACAGACCCACACTGCTGTTTTATGACCCTGAGAGGGCTCTGGGATCCCAAAAATCAGAAACTGGGTCCAACACGAACCCCTGAGGGAGGATATGGAATCAGCATCCCACAGATGGGGCTCAGGCCGTATCACACTGCCCAGCCAACCATTAAGCCCTGCTTTTCTCCTCCTTTTTTCTGTTCCAGAGAAAAACGAACCCAGAAATAAAAGCAAAAAGCGACAGAAGAAGCCGAAGACAGAACGGCACGTGGGTACCTAGCAGGCACCAGCACAGGAGCTGGGACACCATGGTGGGAGCTCCCAACCAGCTCCTGCCATGTTGCCCAGGCCACATCACCCCCGTTTTTCCATCCACCAAAAAAAAAAAAAAAAAAAAAAAAAAAAAAAAAAAAAAAAAAAAAAAAAAAAAAAAAAAA